ACTTCTCAATAAAATTACTATTTTTCCAGCATGTGATATCTGTTATATTCTGATTAAGATTCAGACATGGCTGTCATTGCAGCCATATTCTTTCCATGTTCTTGAAAAATTAAATCATAACTGAAAAAAGTATTATTATATATATTTGGAGAACCAGTAACTATTCAAAGTTGGCCCTGATTGTGATTCTTGGCTTGTCAGCACCCCATCTTGCTGATGAAATTCAATGAATGTAAAACGTTTCAGACCTCTGTCCTTGCAGGCTCCAACAAAAAGTTGATATGCTCTGATATAACTGAAGTTCTGTAAGCTTGCAGAACGTACCTGTCATGTAACAGCCTTGGGTCCAAGTAGATTCATCAGTGCCGGGTAAAGTAATTGTGAACTACCTGTGAAGATTTCCACAGTCAGTATAGAGATCCTGTTCCTTCCACTCACTGTCACGCTGGATTCACACAGTTTGTTCTCAGTTGTCTATTGTTACTCATCTATGTGTTTTTGTAAAGGTTTGCAGAGGTCGGGTCGTTGCCGTGGTGATTGAAACATCCAAGAATTAAGGTGTGCGTGGTGCCTTGGTGAGACTTTAACCCCGTTTCTTGTTAACAATTGTTCATGTTGTCTATTAACATTGGTTATGAATTTCATCTGTTGGTGACGTTTCTAGCATGGGTGTCTTCCCTTAACTTGTGCATTTGTTACTGAGTTGAAGTTTGAATATTGAATTTTACAATTGACAATGTGTTTTTGTTTTGTTAGAAATGTTGTTTCATTGTGGTGTCTGTTTGAGAATTATGAATGTAATGTTGTTTTAATTGTGTGTATTTGAAGTATTTATGAAGTAAAAATGACATTAATTTATTTTTAAATCTGTTTTTAATGGTCATAGCTTCAGTATTAAGTAACATATAAATATGAATTTTAAACACCAGTTACATTTAAAACAAGTATCCATTTTTGTGTATTCAAACATACTGACTTGCTCTACATTAAGAAGTATTTGTTGAAAAAGATACATGTAGATATATATTGTGTAAATGGTGTAAATGTATATCAAAGCAATGGTGACGCTGGATGTATTGTTGCCTTGTATATTAGTGGTGCTTCACAGTTGGATGGCGTGTGTGCCTTTTGTCATGCTATCAGCCGTATTCTTCAGTAAATTAGCATCACTGACTTGGTTTCAATCCATCTGCCAATCTCTAAACTATGAAAACTGTGAGATAAGTAATCCAGGTAACCTGTCAAAGATTTCTTCTTTGATTGGCATTCTAGAAGTTGAGGAGATGAAGAATGAGGACATTTTTGTGGATATACAACTTCTTTATTCTGTAAAGGCGACGTTTCGACATAGATTCTAATGTCATTGTCAAGCAAGGTATCACTTGCTTGACAACGACATTAGAATTTATGTTGAAATGTTGCCTATACAGAATAAGGAAGTTGTATATCCATAAAAACTGTCCTGATTGTCATAGACTTGCCAACACAAACTACACATATGTAAACAGAATGATTCACAAAAAAAAGAGAGCTTTATTCTTTTGAATTGGTTAGTTTTAGATGGTGAAGACAAAAAAAATCTAAATTCGGGTTCTGTTGCATATAGAACCAGGTTGACAAATACTGCACCATAGTTACTACCCAACTGTGGCAGTGTCAAGGCCCCGGTTTTGGGATGTACACTAGAGCTATGGGCTGGCCCTTAGTGTATATAAAGTCACAAGTCAGTACCCAAATTGTTCCAAGGGAGCATCACACAAATATGGTTAATGCATCTGATGAATTATGTGGTTGTTGTATATTATACCCCAGTAACCTAAACATAATGTATCTGGTGATGTTGTAGATGGTATGTCATCGCACCACACTTGTGTGGAACAATTCATATGATATCATCAACTGGATAGTCTGGCCCAGACTTGATTGATAACAGATGGCCATCATATTGCTAGTTAACAATGAAGAAACAAAACATCAAGTCACTGTTGCATCTTGTAATGTAGATTCTGGTGCAGGGTGATGTGGTGGTTGGAGGTGGTCCTGCTTCAGGTCTGCAGTTGGCTTGTACAGGGTGAAGGTCATGCTGAGCAGATAACTCATCAGGGCTTGCCCTGAATGCAGATATTTTGCTGTGATGGTTTATTTGCTTCTATTGAATGGTCTGCAGTTTAACATTTAAGTAACATATTTTGAATATATATGAGCTGAAATTGCAGGACTGAAGACTTGTGCTTTGACTTGAGGATGAAGGGGCTGATAATTTACTGTGTTGCTTGTCTGATATTGATATTTGTAATAAAAGCAGGACCTGTTGGGAATGCGTTTAGTACCTGGATCTTGATTTCAATCAACGACCTACCAATATGCAAGCCAGATACCAGTGTATCACCCTTGATCTGGGATACACCTGAAGGACGTCCGGTTGCATGTTCTTCTGTGTAGTATTCAGACATCATTAATTGGTATACACTGATGCCTCTTTCTAATTTTGAATACAGAGTTTGTAATTAATAAATTACTATATTTACATATTTGTCAGATACTCTTACAAATAGTGAATGGCAAACCTCACCTTCTTCTCTTTTGAAATATGCTTGCTGTAATAGAAAGGGTTTCTGATGAACTGTTTTACAAAGCAATATAGTTAGAAAATACGTCCGTTTTCTTGGAGATTTGCCCTTTTGTTTGATGATTTCACATAAAGAGATGAAAGCAAAGAGGAACATTGCTGAATTAGATTGCATTAAAAGTCCACCTGTATTTGTGAAGGTACAGGTCGGAAAAGTCTTTGTTGTCAAATTCAGTAACATCACAGTAATTACATAAATAGTGTTTAACAAATACAAGTGTATCACAGAATTCATTTGATGAACCGTGTTAAACCAACCCAATGATCTTCAACACTCAGTAGCATGGGAGAGGGGAGTCTTGGATATTTGGGAGAATTATATTCCTGTAGAAGGGTAAAGGGGGTAGGGATATCAGGAGGTAGATGTCTCAGTGATGGGAATTATGGGTGGAGCGACTCCCAGAAGGGTATTATGAGGATGTCAAGAGAAGGGTATCTGAACAGAATGGTCACATCTCAGGGAACAGGTCTTGTGAGAAAGTTGTCGTGTCAGATATATGCTGATTCAATCCCTGCTTGTGTACTGCAATTTGTGATATTGTGATTAGTTGTCTCTGTAAAACAGGTTTATTTCAGAGACTAGACGTTAGTCTGTAGTCTGATGACATTGTAGGCATTTGTATACCTTCACAGGGCTGAGGCATACTTTATCATCCAAAACTGTGTTCCACAGGAGATATTGCTTGTGTGAGATCAGACGATATCTCCAAGGAGATATCATTTTGATAGTAGATTTTGCACAATGCCCTGACAATGCTATGACGTCATGAACTTGACGTCACAATGACGTCACATGACATCGCTGCACTGCAAGTCTAATGGCAGTACTGTGTTCATTGATGTACATTTTTCATTGAAAACTAATGAAGAGTGATTTTTGATGATAAATAGAATCTCACCCTCGTGTCTTCTGATATCAAATACTGTAATTGTAGTTATTTTCGCGTTGGATTAATTTTCGTGCTTTTAGAGCAAAAAGATTGTGCGTCAATAATCATACCAAGCGAAATATTCATGGTCAAGTCATGACAAATACTCAAGTAGGAACAACATGCAATTTGTTTATTCTTTTAGATAACAACATTGCATGTCTATGGGTTGTGAAAACTTTGTGGTGGAGACCATCACTCGGGTGTTTGAAATGCGTGCGAAAAAGACAACTGTGCTAACAGGTCTTTTGTGAACTTACTGCAAAAATTTCACCCTGTGAAAATATATACGATTACAGTATATCAACACTCGTTGATAAAAGTAAAATATCCTCTGCAAGCCTTTATCAACTCGTTGTGATATATTTGATATCAAAAGACGCTCTGGTAAAATTCTATCACATACTATCACATACAAATGTATCTGATTCTTCTGCTACACTGGAGCTGATATGAATGTTTGTGACCCACTTTTCTGGTCAGAAATCGTCATTGGATTTGTACTTCAGATTAGCAGTCATTTCTCATTCTTGTTTCAGTCATTCCTCACTCATCTTTCAGCCATACATCATTCAGAAGAGTTGAAGAATTCCATGTATTCTCATGTTACAGTATTAGCTATGTTTCAGTCATTTATCATGTTGTATAAAACTGAGATCATTAACTTCAGTTGCAGGCCATTTTCAAGCATATCATGTCCATATGTTTCCTCCATGTTATAAAGATCCTCTCCCTCCATGCCTGTGTATAGAGTACTGTATTCCTCTAATAACAGACTGGCCTCTACTATTGGCTTGATCCTAGAGTAAAAAATTACAGGAAGACTCTGGTAAGACCCTGCACTTAATGGTGTCTCCCCGGTCGAATAACGTTAAGTTGACTGAACTAAACTGTCTTTACTCTATGTTCAGTCAGGGAGACACATTGGGATACATTAAACTTCAACTTCCAAGTTAAAAATTTGAATTTAGTAACTCATTTTGCAATACTCCAACACAAAAATGAAAGGAATATGGGATTGGGCTAAAATAAAAGCAGGTTTCAAGAACAATCATGCTAAGCAGTAACATTAAGTCAACAAGGCCATGTCTCTTAATGGAGGAAACAGTCCAGGAAAGGGTGGTGATGGTCAGTACACAAGTCACTTCCACTTTCACCATGGCTCATGTATTTAACTGCTTTGACACAAAATCTGGAAATACAGTTTTCCGGGCATCTCACTGACCGACATATGGTCATTCACGTCAGATACAGTTGTTAAATGAAACACATGTATAATATCGAAAGATATTGCATTTATTTCATATGGAATGTTTCCAAAAAAGCATTTGCTTTCATTTTCAAATTGAGAAGTCTTGACATTGGCTATGTGCAAATGGAAGTGACAACCCTCTGTGTGTAGCCAAGTCTTAACCTGCCATTTGCATGTGCTTGCCTTCCAGGCGTGGTAACACCCATCCAAAACCTATTCTATCAGTGAACCCACCGAAACTAACAAGTAAGGTGATAGCTCAGCTGTTGCGTCCACGCGGCCGCGGCAAGTCGAGTGACAAGTCTTTGCTTTGCAGTAGTTAGAGGAGCTAGAGGTGCTAGCCAGAGCAGGTGACTGGGTAGATAAGTAGCGGTGTAGATGTAGCTGTGGCGTGGGGGCATCGCCGACATGGAAGTGGTGGGGTTGTCACAGACACACCAGCAAATACATTAATCGCTGCATTATAACTTGACCATCGTTCTGCCATCAAAGAATTTGAGAGATATGTGAACTGATGCTTTATGAAAAGAGTACCCTATGAGACCTTCTGTACCATTCCTGGGCCATGTAAGAAAATGTTTCCAGTACACATATTGCTGATGACCAAGTCATTGTGTTGCGATGCCTACCACTTCCATGTCTGGCAATGAGACCCATGTATGTTTCTGGGCATGATGTTTGTATAAAGTCTGATGGCAGACAGACTGTCTCTCTTTGTCCTAGGTGTCAACTTGCTGATGTGATTCTGCCCTGTGATGTCCGTCTGTCACCACGATGTGCCTCTGCGTGTCATGTCTAGTCAATAAACTCCTTATGTCAATAATGTCTTCATTTTGTCCTGGAGTATGTTCCATGTCATGTATTTGAGTACTTGTGTTAGTCTTGTCCAAGAGGCACTCATGTCATGCATGTCATTGGTATACTTTTTCTATCAGTGCAAGTGTACCCTTGTAGTTCACAGAATGACTGAAAGTAGTTTTGTTTCACACTGTATTCTTTTCACATGTTAATTTGTTACTGTTATATGTATGACAGCGACTGGCCGAGTGTTTCCCTGCTGTGCGTCATCTGTGTTTAGTTGCAGGTGCTCCCTGATACTGACAGATGCATACTGCATACACGGCTCTGACAGACAACCGGCATTGTTCACTTATCTCAGATCTACACTGTATATATTTTAAATGATTTATAGTAGTAGGTGAAATTAGGATATTCAAAAAATATGTCATCATGACCGATTTGTTTATATTATTTGCATGACATTGAGATCTGGAAAAAAATGTAGCCTCAGATGTTTGTAGTTGCTTTCTGCAGAAATTCTTAAATGTTCAGTGGCATTATGTCTTAACTGTACTGAACATGTGCCAAATGCTGTATAACCCTTCACAATGTGCAGTTTTCATGTTCATATTTGTGAAAACAGCTTACTGTTGTATCCCCTTTCACAAAAGCCAGAATACATAGAATCTGATACCGAGGGTGAAGGTGACAAAGCTGGGGAACACACATGTCAGGAATAGATGTTGGCTGATGCTCTTACTTCAAGATCTGAGGTTTAGTTTGAGGGATAGAAGTATAAACATGAAGACAATGACTACTGCCATGCCAAAGCGTGAACAAGCGTGCCCGCATCCTTGTATTGTCTTAAGTCATAATGCTTTCATTGTTGTATAGACTATAATTTTAGTTTTCATGTTTTTGCATACATTTTGTTCTGAATTTGCAAATGTTTTATGACATTTCAACATGAATGTGCTTGGTTTGTTTCTGTGATGGTTTGGCATTTCATTGAAATGTGTTTGTTTCCTTGTGTAGGACGTTTACCTTAATGTATAGGCTGGAGAGAACTGTCAGTGTAGGCATTTACCCTTTCTCAATGTAGGCATTATACCATCTCAAAGTAGGCCTTTCTCATTGAAGGTATTTTCCACCTTCAAAGTAGGCAAGCCTTTCTCAGTGTAGGTATTTTACCTCTGTAAATAAGCATTAAGCCTTTTTCCATGTAGATATTTTTTTAAGTAGGCATGCCTTGCCTACTTCAAATATAGGTGTTTTTCTGTCTCAAAGTATGTTTTTTCCTAATATTGGCATTATGTCTTTTTCAATGTTGCCTTTTATCTTCTGAATGTTGACTTTATGCCTTTTTCAAGTAAGATATGTTTTACCTTTCTAAATGTTGGTACTCTTCCCTCTCTATGTAGGCAATGTGCCTTTCTCAAGTGAGGTACTTTACCTTTCTAAATGTTGGTAAACTCCCCTCTCAATGTTGGCAATATGCCTTTGCAATGTAGGTGTTTAATTTACCTGAATGAAGGTGTTCCACATATTTGATCAAACATCAACTATTGTTCCTTCACATGAGAATCTTATTAAACACTAGATTGGAGTTTTGGATAATGTTTACCTGGAATAAGTGGTGATTTTTCATGGTATTGTCTTACAATGACAATTTTAAAGACAAAGAATTGTGGTCATACTGCAGGGCTGGAGAAGCTTGCTGTATTGTGGTACTCTGTATGGGTGATGGGTGATAACTGCAGACCTAGGTATTAAGCTCCATGTCACTTGTAACAGCCTTGGCAGTTTCTTCAAACTACAAGGGTCTACTTGACTTTTTAACTTTTGTCTTCTTTGTTGTGCAGGTACCTCAAAGTACTTGAAATGTAAACGTGGCAAGTGAGATGATGAACCAGTCAAACACAGGGGAAGTGCAGCAATCAGCCAATGAGATGCCTCACAACACCAACAGAACAGAGACAATCACTCGTCAGCACTACTTATCCAACAGGAAGTAGTGTAGGGTGTGTGGTGAATAAAGTTGCCATCAGTAGTAAGACTTCATCACGCCAGATGAAGACACATCCATGGTAGTCATATTCAACACAAGTGGAGCAACCGTGATGACCTTGAGCTTGAGCTCTGGTATTAAGTATTGCAGGAAGTGATTGCTGTTACACAGACAGTAACCTCACACAGCATGGGGAGGAAGGTCACACGATTCTGTGTCTCAGAATATTAAGAAATGTAGATCTGATGTCAGGGATGGTTCGACAAGAGACACATCTGTTTGATGATAATGGACATACATTCCTTTTATCACTATTGAGTTCTATACAACAATAACATAATTTGTAATGAAGCTCTATGTAAGACGTTCTGATGCAAATTGGACTGGATTCAGCAGTACTTATCTTGCCCATGTAACAAACTTGTGAACTGCCAGCAAATGATGCATTTTATTCTTCCTGCCTACATCAAGTCACAGCAGTATTCTTACTGTGCATAGTGTTTGAATAGCCAGGTTGTTCTTGTTTTAGAGGGACATGTCTGTCTTCTTGTATCAGGTTTGGAGCGTATCTGTGATATCTGAAGTCATATAGATCTTTTAGAGGATATTTATTGTCAGTGTATGTGCATATATTTATTGTAGTTTCCGCTCATACCTCCATGTACTCATCTACAGTTGTCTGGGTGGTCCCAGGGCAATTCTTCATGCATTGTCATAGAGCAGGGAAACGCACCTCTTCAGCAGCAATGATGTCAGGGGTACCATCAGTCTTTGTCACTTCTCATGTTTCACTTCAGTCATGAGATATGAAATGTTGGAGAGGTTTGTTGTTTTCCACTGCATGCAAGAGGAGTGGAAGTTAAACTTCAGCAAACAAACAGATGTATTTATTTGACAACAGAGTTACCGAGGGGATGAACTGCAGAACATGAGTTATTCCCCCTAGCTGTTGCTTGCATACCAGTGTCAAGCAAGGTTGTCGTGCCAACTTTTTATAACTTTTTGAAGATGAAATGCATGAAGTGATATTGTAACCAGACCAAACCCGGATCCTTCTCTTAGAACCACTCGACTACACACAATCCTGCTGCTCCTTAGGTTCAATGAAACACTTGATCCAGTGGCCTAAATGTGTATACATGTAATGTGTCAACATGGACCTGAAGTATTATAACACAGTATCGTATCCTCAAACTAGAATCTGGGTGTCCATCACATTCCTTCATTTGACTTGTGATATGTACGTCATATCTTCACTGTGTATCATGATACACATCACATTGTCATCTTGTGTGATGAACATTGTTTTTCCATCATGTTAGGAAATTTTGTTGGGATGGTAAGTCATAAACAAAGAGAGAATCAAAAGGTCACCCTTTATACAAAATATTCTTGAAATATATTGTGGTAGCTCATAGCAGGGATTGGGTTCCTGTTCTCCTAACAGGCGGTGGCCCGTTTCTTGTGTCCTGCAACTGGACCCTACCAAACATAGCATCAATTTAGAGAACTGTGTGTTGAGTTTCTCTCTCGAAAATTAATATCACCATTGCAGTTTGCTGTAATTTGTATTGTCCAAAAGTCATTTTGACATTAGGACCTGTTCACATGAATATATTTGGATGTTACACTTGCACACCTGTTTCTGAATAAGAAACAGATTTGAACCACAATATTTTGCCACCACCTGTGAAGGAAAAGCTACTAATCATGAACCAACAGTACTACCAGTTCACACAGGATCACGGATAAAAGTCCATAATTGAATGTAATCTTATTCTTTTATTCAAGACAAGAAATTTGTATTATTTTATGAGAATGAGGAAAGTTGGATGAGCATTGACAGGATTCACCATATGATCCCCTTGCAGTATACACATCCTCACCAAGGTGGTCCACATGTTGTGCCCATACTGGTGAATGGGAGGTCGGTGTAGAGTTGGTTCACAGGTCAAGTTTGGCCAGTGTATGCTTAACTGTCAGGTCAAGGTATGTTTGACCTGTCAGCTCTTTGCACCAGGTGTAGCAAGCAGCAGCAGCAACAGCAGCAGCAGCAGCAGGAATGTGTCTGACAGCATACACTATATAAGTGCTAAACTTCAGTATTATGAAACATTATGTGAATTTGTTTCTGTTGTCAAGAATTATTTATTTATAATATTTTTTGTTTGAATATAGAGATGAATGAATTTTATTTTGTTTTCAGATATCTTAATTGTTGGTATTGGCATTTTTAAATCACTAAAGTAAATATTCTCATATCGTACTAGACTTGAGGAATAGCACTGCTGCAATTTCTTACGAATATATTTCTACAAGTTTAAGTATCTATGATGGTGAAAGTGTAGTGTATGTCTTCTAGCTCTAACCAGTTGGTGAACATCATATATATATGACGTCAAGACAAGTGTAGTCTTATGATTAGATAGTAGTGACATGATATATCTCTGTATACACCCTAATATATATTACCTATGCTTCAGATGCTAAGGTGCGGGGTCAGATTTGCAATTGTTTCTTTTGTCCTGTGCTCATTTACATATCTGAAAGTCGAAATCTTCACACTTGATAAACAAAAGTAATTTATGCAAAGTATGTTCAGGTTAAACTGGTCCCACTGTTTTGATTCATCCGACGATGGTAAAGGGGTGATGGTGGATATGGGGTTCTCCCATGTCAATAGATAGAACGTCAGCATAAAATAATACCCAGTCTTGAATATCCTCACAAACAAATTCGATGTAAAGGGAAAACAGCTGTGAGGATTATATGAATGGATCACTGAAAATCTGTGACGACACCTGCATCTCCTCAGGTTGTGCCTCCACATGAAGCTGCCACTCACTGGGATAACTGAAATACTATTCAGAGGTGTAAATCGAAGCCCCTTTTGGCTTCGTAAAGACCCGTTGACCAACTGCTTTGCAGATCCACAGATTGGTTGGTGAGGCTAGGTTGCTTCGTTGATTGCTTGTCAACGCACCACAACAATGTGGCATGTTGCTCATGATATCAGCCTCTGGTTTGTCAGGTCTACACTGGCCTTTGTACAGGCTAGCACATCACTGAATGTGATGCTGAACAAGCACTATCCCCAAAATCTTGAAATCTGATCTTGCAACAAGCACTCGCCCCAATACCTTGAAATCTTGAAATCTGATCTTGCAACAAGCACTCGCCCCAATACCTTGAAATCTGATTTTGCAACAAGCACTATCCCCAAAACCTTGAAATCTGATCTTGCAACAAGCACTCTCCCCAAAACCTTGAAATCTGATCTTGCAACAAGCACTCACCCCAAAACCTTGAAATCTGATCTTGCACCCTTAATCCTGTAGTCAGAATACGGACATTTAATGGCTGGACTGTTCAACTATGTTCTCTTTTTAACCAGTCAAATTTTTTCTGAAGTAAATTTCAGAGAAATTTAGTTTGAAAATGGTAGTAATATGTTGCTGACAGCAACAAGAAGAAGGATGATTTGTAAATCGACAAGGGTGCAACCTGACGTCACGAATGTGACATTTAAGGAACGCACCATTAGACTTGTGATCTTGGTAATAAGTGCCTACATGTAACAACGGGTTCAGTCAAGTTCATGTTTACCAGTGACGTATGATGTGATATATATGTATAGAGAGTTGTGTCTGACATATGCTTATTGTTAAGATAATCTGGATAATTCTATTTCCAAATAAAATGATACACATGTAGCAAGGTTTCTGTCCTTTCTTTCATGGTATTGGTAAAATATGGCAGCACTGGGAAACAGTACTTAGGGACCGTTCATAATTATGGCTAGGGGGGTGATGATGGATTTTATGGAGAAGCATGTACAATGTGAATGACCCCCTAAAATGTATGTACAAAATAAGTGACCTCCCTTGCATGTCATGTACAAAATCAATGACCCCCCATCCCATAATTTCTAAGCATAAATTGAAACATATTTTTATGTGCAAAATTGCTACCCCCTCTCCTAGTACATGCGTACAAAATTGCTGACCCCCCTAGCTCCCCAGAACAATATGGGTGACAACAAAACACACACACACACACAACACCAAAAGAAAAAGAAAAAAAAGCCATAAATTATGAACGGTCCCTTACCCGACATTTTAAACAATAGTTTTGCCACCATAGGATAGATGTTGTGATACGTGTAATACTAACCATTTTGTTTGAAGTGGCAGTCAAACAAAACAGACACAAAGTTATCCATATGACCTGCCCATTTTCACAGTACATCAAGATTGTAGCAGCAATATAATGGGCTCGAGAAAAGCAGCATTCAAATAGCTATTAACTTCTTGACGGTCACTGACTTGCAACCTGGTGGAGTTCCCATTAAATCGCTTGACCCACCACTCTGTCCACGGCCATTAACATCAAATATGAATGAAAGAAGAAATGATTGAATGAATAAGCATAAAATGTATGAGCATATTCAGGTCTTGTATATGACTTATTTATGATTGAAAGCCTGAATCGTTCCGGTTCCAAGGTTTCTCACAATACTAACGCTCTGCAGTCTGTATAAAGCGCCAGTATGAAGAGCTTTTGGGAACGTGAAATAACACTACATGGCACACGGCTAGTTTTAGTGTTTATCCCCATGTGCAGGCACTTCCGTCTTCTTGGTATGAACAACCAAGTTTGAAAGATGTACATGCCAACAAAAGTGCCAACATGATACTATCGTATCTCTGACGTAGTTATGTATAATCGAATTCCTCCCATCACCAATATTAAGAACTAGTAACAAGCTTTGATCACGTTTTGTGTGTTTATGTAATCGTGTGTATGTAAACATGTATAGTTTATACTTTAGTTTAAACAAGTAATTTCTCGGGTTGTCAGATGAGTACACAAAATCCCCCTGCAACATTTAACAAATTGTAAATGGACTGCAAAATAATCCATACCAGGTGAATGTTATATACAAGGCGTCATTAATGAAGGGTCAAATCATATATAGCACATGTAAAGAAAAGTTTCTCAGAAATAATAGAACTAAGAGCGTCATCATAATGTTTAATGTGTTGACAAACGTGACACATCGTGGTATACAGACAGAAAGTTCAAACAGCACAAGCAAACATCTAGTTGTATAGACCAGTCCCCCAAAATGAAAATGACAAACATGAAACACTCGGTCATTCAGTGCCGTGTGTACCCTCTTCGCGCGTCCAAGACAGGTGCACCTTGTTCTCATGCTCCTTATCAACTTGATAAAGCTTGGGGAATCGCATTCTATTCCTCTACTAGAACTCTGCGAAGTCCTGGAAGATTCACTAGTGCGAGGTGACGTGTGTACACACGTCGACCGAGTTCATCCCAGGTATGCTCAATTGGGTTGAAGTCTGGCGAGCATTCTGGCCACTCCATCCGCTCAACACCCTGCTGCCTAAGGAATTCCGTGACAGTCTTGGCCCTATGAGGCCTGGCGTTGGCGTCCTTCAGTAAAGAGGGTCGACCATAAAAAACATGCATAGCTTGCAGGAATGGTACTGCTGTAGGAGCCAGAATCTCACCCCACGCTGTCTGGTACGATTACCGTCGATCACGTGCAGTGGAGTACGTCCAGTAGGTGTTATCTCTGCCCAAACCATGACCGATCCCCCGCCAAATCGGTTATGCGTGGCCACAGTTGCATCTGTGATTCGCTCTCCGTTGCGACGACAAATCCTCTGCCGACCATCATGGAAGGATAAACTGAATCTGCTTGCATCTGTGAAGAGCACACGAGACCATTGACGTTGATTCCAGTGGCCATGATGTCTACTCCATCTCAAACGCGACTGCCTGTGACGTGGCGTTAGTGCTGGACGAACTGCAGGTCGCCTACAGCGGAGTCTGACTGCCCTTAAACGCCGACGAACGGTGTTCCTGGAAATCCTTACATTGTTAACACTGAAGTGTTCTGTATGAAGATCTGCTGCATTCGGGAATCTGTTTACGTAACGCAGTGTTAATCATGTCCGGATTTAAGTCCAATAGAACACCTTTGGGACGAGATTTAAAGAAGACTGAATGACGTCCAACCAAGGCCGACAACTGCGGCTGGACTCGATCATTCATTCATGTACAGGCGATGCAACGCCGTCATCGATGCCCATGGATGCCACACACGATACTGACTTCGAGGTATTCTTATGGTACCATTCTTGGTGATTTTGTTTGTGTGAACTCTTAATGTGATTCCCGAAAATGTGTTAACCATAACTGTCAAGTTTGAAATTAATCCTCCGTTTTGATTGGTAATTAGAGAGAATTAAAGTGTTTGCTTTAAGAAACCTCTATCGGCGTGGCGTTTCTTTTGCGGTTCAGTATATAATAAATAGGTCTCAGATAATTTTTACAGGTTACATTCATTAAAATATATTTATACTATACAAATACACACACCACAGTCAAAACATTCACACTCAAGCACTTGAAAAATGATAAACCTTACCCATTTATGGAATGGCGGTTTAATAGCTACCCTGTTGGCATCTGCAAACAACATTTGCCACTTTTATACAATTGCAAAGGCATACACTAAAAGTGCATGCACTAATGATACATGTTATACCATAAATAATTAATTTATACATAAAGGTTTACTAATTATTTATTTGTACTATTTCATAAATTTTACTCAAACATTAGAATATAACTGACAACTCCTAGCTTTAGTTTATTGAAACAAAACAATACCATTTTAAACTAATCATATATGTGGCAAGTAACAGTGATGCTGTGTTGTACTTATAGGCCTGATGTCAAGTGCCATGTGCTTGTACAATAAGGTTACTGAACATCCCTAAAAACACTTGTACCCAATAGGAGACTGGATCTCCGATCACATTACACACAACTTGAAGGTCACTAGCATGGTGATCTACCTTCAGTTGCTGTCAATCTACAGCCCATTTTTACGATGTGTTGTTTATTATCTATTCTTTTAAATGCTGTCAACAAGTTGTAACTTATAACTGTGATAATCGGGTTATTCTACTGTCCATCGATGACAGGTTTTTATTCCTTATGTGTTAAGTCAGAGCCCGACTCTTAAGAATCAAATTCTCGTCACGATATGGTTGAAATATTGCCGATGTGACGCTAAACTTTAACTCACTCACTCACAACTTGAAACTGAGGCCAGACTGAACCACCTCATGAACGATTACTTCCTCAGTGATGACATAATTCAGATGCACCTTAACCACATAGAAGTTTACCAACAAACCCCCAACAAAACCTTTTACGTTCTTTGTAGACAACCACAGTGTTTATTGAATAACCCGTAACCACTAACAGCTTTAAATATTTTTGGAGTTTACCATTTTATACTTTTTATTTATATAATTTTATAAGTACACAAAGCCCCATCATCTGATAACAATAAAATCTGATATGTCTCAATTGACATTACATCCTTCTTTAATACAATATCCCATGCAAACACTTTCGCTTTAACAAAGTTGTGGTTACAGAGATAGTGTTATATAATAATAAATGTGAATACAGAAACAATGCTAATAGATGCAATGCATTGGACAGGTAGGAAAAAACTATTCCAAGGTCGATATCGGAGAGGAAGTTGCAGAAACAGGTTCACCTTGTTAAGCCGACACCGCCTCCGTGGTGTAGTGGTTAGAGCGTCCGCCCGGAGAGCGGAAGGTCGCGGGTTCGAGCCCCGACCACGTCATACCAAAAGACGTTAAAATATGGTACTTGTTGGTTCCTGCCTGGCGCTCGGCATTACTGGGTACAACAAGGACTGGTCGGCTCGGAGTCAGTATAATGTGTCTGAGTGGGGTATTCATGCTTCACTGCGGCATGGTATCTCAGTGAGCTAGCTTAAGTTTGGGCTAGTACAAGCAGCCGCATATACACATACACACGCATGCACGTCGTCATATGAGCGAAATATTCTCAAGCACGACGTTAAACCCAATTTCACCTCACCTCTTAAGCCAACAATACAGACTTTTAACCATCAAATTTGGTCAACTTATATACCTCGTGTTCGTAAGTTGTCCGGAAATAAAATCCATCAACTGATTATCTTCAAAATTCTTCTTAAAAACTTGTAACCCAAAATGTCGAGCAAACGCAGAGGGAAAGGCTGTTTTACATCGTATCTCCTGGTCTTGAGCGATGTGTCACACAACAAAAGAAAAGAGAACGGGAAATAACCATTATGCGTCATTGGCCGAAGATCGATTCTGAATGGCATGTGTGGAATGTATTCCGTAATCCACCAGGATATCATTCCATACTCCACACACAGACTTCCGTGATACAGACTTGAGAAACCTCAGCCATCGCTTACTTCCATCCACCAGACCTTGGATGTACGTGTTCCCATTCTTCTGTTGACGAATGGAATGTTCTCCAAATACAACAATCTGGCAGCTGTATATTAGCATAAAGTCATACAACATCTCAAGGTCACTTGCACCGAGTGCCCGAATGGATAGATAACCGGAAATCACGTGACCACCAATCCGAAGTACTTCCTGTTGGCCAGCTTTAGATTTCTGCATGGCACCGAATATTAGCTGTGCGATATCTGCCACTCGGTATGTGTAGCAGACTTCGTTGAAATCTATTATTCCAAATAACTGTTTTCCATCTTCCCTGTAATCAACCAGTTGGGATCCAGGCAGCTGAGGCTTGACGATGATGTTGGCCAGGTTGAGATCGCCATGAATCACTCCTGAAAAGTGAAGATGCCAGTGGTTATGTTTCTGGGTTTATGATAGCTTTAGACGATGGACTTGTGGATTTCACCAAACAGGTAAACGTCTAGACTAAGGATGCAATACTTTCATCCTTCCGCCAATATCACATTGACAAGTCTTGATTTACTAGTAAGTGTCAATCCTGTAAAACACCAACATCCCTCACTCACAGGAACCATTGCCAACATCACAGTTGTACCTACTTGCATACATTTCAGTTTCAGATTCATTGCATTCGTGGCCTACCTGCCACCAGAGCACCGTTTATGCCTTCAGGTGACCTGGTCACGTGAAAGTGTTAAGGTACAGTTATGACATGAATTAATTTTGGGGGTTTACAATTGTTTGTGTATTATATGATCTGCAAATGATCATCATGGTTGGATCCTTATCTAGACGAGTAGAGACGATCATATTGCCATCCAGCGTGGGACAAATGGTTTCACGTTTTGATTGGTTCACATTCTCAAATGATTGACAGCCGAATCACTTACACGGTCAACGTTTTGACAGTCCAGACAATCCAGTGATCAACAGCATGAGCATCGACCTGCGCAACTGGGAACCGATGACATGTGTCAACTAAGTCAGCGAGCCTGACCACCCGATCCCCTTAGTCGCCTCTTACGACAAGCATGGGTTACTGAACGCCAATATTCTAACCCGGACCTTCACGGGTTGACAGCTGATGTGATGCAAAGTGGCATGTATATGACCACAGTGGTCAGAATACAAGTCAGTGTATGCAACAAGTGTCGCCACAGTGCAATCTATAGTACAACTGACACAAATGTTCTTGAGTACAATGTTTTCATCATATTAATATGAATGTATGTACGTGCCCTCTTTACGTGACTTCTTTACTATTATTAAATCATACATTATAATGATTGTCAGCAGTTTGTGCATCTCGTCTCCATGTCATACATCACTGACATAACAATTTATTCAATGAATGTAGTGTGATGACGAAACAAGTTGCTGAAATGTATTACCTTTTTGCAAGGAGCCATGTTTTGCCGACAAATTGCTCTGAAAATCCTCAAGAACGCTCCTCGCGATGTCCCTTATATCGTCTTCCTACAAGAAACATGACAGTACTTTAGCGGTAGACCATTTGGTGGTGAGGTATGAGGGCGTGTGATGGCCTTCGTGTGGTACAGAGTCTGTTACCGTAAATGTCACAAAAGAATAGTTGAACAGGGCCTCCTTTCACAATGCACTAAGGTGATCGTAAGTCACTAAGGTAACCTTAGTGCAATGTTAAGGAATGGGAGTTAAGGTTAACCTTAGTAAAGGTTGCTTCGTGAAAGGAGCCCCAGGTCATTTAGCTAAAGAAATCATTGAAAAATAATTTGAAAAAGGCAAGCACCCCAAGATATGTTCACCGCTAACAGAAATATGTTTATGTTCAGCTTGTGTATGATCATATGTATGATGATAATGTTCATTTAAGAAGTTATATGATTGCATTTGTACTTGGTGGAAAGAGTCTCCTACACACATCCTGTGGAGCATGGCCAGAAGCACACCCACGAGTTGTGTTTGTGAACGTGCCACGTGTCGGTATTTAATCTGCATGGGTTACAATGTTCCATCATATTCCTGCCTCTCTAGTACGAAGAAGATTATGAGGTGGCCAGAGATGGCATATTATTGGTATTCAAGGACGCTTGATAGTTTGGAGGCGAATGCAGCATTTGAGCTAAAAGGCATCTAACCAACTGTTGCCTTTGGTGGAGGCTATCCAAGGACGTGGAGGATACACTAGATATTGATCATTGTACAACGTTCCCAAGTTACAAATAAACGTGTGTTTTTTCTCATCACACACACGCCATGTTGCCCGATCATCTCGCTAGGTTCATATTTGTAACAAGTATCATTTTGAGCCAAATCAGATGATTTATGTAATGTGCCATATCCATTATTTATGGATGGAAACTGTTTTCTTATTGTGTGGGATTTTGTAGTGAAGACATGATCCTGAAGAAAACAAACAGCTGATGACAGCCAAAACATACAACGTTGTAAATATTAGCTGTGGTGCGTAACTTATTTCCAGGTGTATATATACAGATGAAGCGCCAGATCTCATTCCTCAAATCTGCTCTCATGGGTGTATATTACTACTGAACCAGTCTTTGGAAGAGATACACTCAAATTCCATTCACAGCTCGGGAATGTGCAGCTTGAGTATCTATCGTAAGTAAGGGACTTTTCATCCTTGCACACCAGCATTATAAATCTAAAACTGATGAACCACGTTTCATTAAATGCGACTGTAGCAGCACATACATGTCATCATTATGTCGGGTTATGAGTTTGAGCAAAGTTAACATGAATGTTGCCGATATGCACGCTCTTGCCACGTGGACCTCGGGGGAGTAATGAAATGTTCCTACCTGAGTTGTAAGCAGGTAGTTCTCCAATATTCCGGCATTTTCTGCGATCCATCTATTATCCTTTTCTACCTGCAGGCAATACGTTGGGAAATCCTGTATATAAGAAGAAAATAACTTACACATACTAGTATATCATTAACTATTAACACGAACAAACAACAGGGCCATCATCTGTATTCTACGTGCAATAATATAGGGACATCAGTCGGCATCTGTCGAAGTTAAGTTAAATTTGTTTAAAATACATTGATATAGATGTTATTGTTTAAATACTCTAGTACGATATGCACCTTCTCTAAGAACATCACTGTCTCCATAATTATAACATAATTACGTAACATCTATAAGGCCAAATAACAAACATACACCACCATGCCAAGTAACAAATCATACAACACCATGCCAAGTAACAAACACACACCACCATGCCAAGTAACAAACATACACCACCATGCCAAATAACAAACATACACCACCATGCCAAATAACAAACATACACCACCATGCCAAGTAACAAACATACACCACCATGCCAAGTAACAAACATACACCACCATGCCAAATAACAAACATACACCACCATGCCAAATAACAAACATACACCACCATGCCAAATAACAAACATACACCACCATGCCAAGTAACAAACATACACCACCATGCCAAATAACAAACATACACCACCATGCCAAATAACAAACATACACCACCATGCCAAATAACAAACATACACCACCATGCCAAATAACAAATCATACAACACCATGCCAAGTAACAAACATACACCACCATGCCAAATAACAAACATACACCACCATGCCAAATAACAAACATACACCACCATGCCAAATAACAAACATACACCACCATGCCAAGTAACAAACATACACCACCATGCCAAATAACAAATAACAAACATACACCACCATGCCAAATAACAAACATACACCACCATGCCAAATAACAAACATACACCACCATGCCAAGTAATAAACATACACCACCATGCCAAGTAATAAACATACACCACCATGCCAAGTAATAAACATACAACACCATGCCAAGTAATAAACATACAACACCATGCCAAATAACAAACATACACCACCATGCCAAGTAACAAACATACACCACCATGCCAAGTAATAAACATACAACACCATGCCAAGTAATAAACATACAACATCATGCCAAGTAATAAACATACACGCTATGTGACAAAACTCCACTACCATGCATGCGTCATCAGCATCATGTCATGCACATCCCCAACAGCACCCTATGACGTACTGGGGTTATCTAGCACACTACCTTCAGTACGTCATGCAGTTCGGCCAGCAGCACTCCCAGCATGAAGTAGGTCTCCTTGCGATGCAGGGGAAGACAACTGTCTAAGGGCTCTCCAGGCAGATAGGTGAGGAGACGGACACAACAGTCTTCTTGGGGGCTGTCTAAAGACATAAATCGGAAACACATATTTCATATATTGCGCCCTCTCGTCCCTCTCACTATATCAAAACACATTTGCTCAACCATTTAGTATTTTGGGTCTTTTCTACCAGAAACAACTTAACAAATAATCTGTTACAGAAAATGCTGAAACATTAGCAATGTAAATCCTACATGATCCCTTGACTCTATATTGTGAAAGGTAGTTCATCCAATATGTTGGTTCAATCAAAGACTGTTCTAATCCGTCATAGTTACCTTGTAATGGTACAGGGAATCCTCTTTTGGTAAACATATTGCCATGTATATTGGGCAAGTGAACTGGACATAGGAATCCGTTGTTCTTCAGTACCAGGGCAACATCTACCAGAGCCTTCAGCTTGCCGTCGTTAGTGGATTCATCCGGGTTGGTCACTTTCAACACGCACCGGTCAAGCGTTGCTGATTCCACCAGGAAGTTTCTGTCCATAAACGAAGGCAGTTCGGTGATTGTTGTCGGATGGTGGTGATACACAGACACCAGGATGTCCTTCACCTGCTCTGTGGTCACAAACGGACGTCGGGAATCGGACATGGTGTTCTTTATCCAGGTAAACTCAATCTGGTATCAGCCTCACACAGCCTGTAATATAGAAGCAGTGAGGAAATGCCTTCAGCAGTAGCTAGCGGCAATAGTTTTTCGTAGGGGTGTATCCCTTCACTATAGGGTCACTGGACCAAATCTCAGATAATAGACCAATCTCTAGTGCGGGGGAAAAACAAGTATAACAGAAAGTAAACTTTTCGGATTCTCATTCATGCCTTAAAGCTGTTAACTCTGAGTCACCCATGTATACTGTCTGGATATGTAACTACTGGGGCCATAACGTTATGTTTTCTTGGTTACTCAGCCGCAAAGGACTAGTAGTCAATAAAAAGCTGACGCCGCAGGTGAGGCAGCCCTTGACATTACTTCCAAAGAATGTTGAACACCTAGTATGGTACATGTATATGTACAGACGTCTTAGGATAAAACCCATGCATGACGCTATATCTCCCTGGGTTGCCTGTCGAGACATGACGATGTCGCAAGGGCTAACGTATTGAAAGGTGAGGATCCTGGTGTTCTTTGTGATGACAGAGTCCCAGTAAAGCAAGGCACTGTGGAAGTTATTCTTTTAGAAGATACATCGCGTATCAAATTTAAGGAACCCTTTTAGCAACGTAAATGCACATTTATTTCTCGTTTTTCTTTAAAAGTAGGATTGATACATAACTTTTGAAATGATATGTGTTAAATTTGGAGGATGGGGTGGAAGTATCTCCCCATAGGGACACGTGGCAGTGCTATTCAGTGTACCTTTCCATCATATTATCAACTAAGTATATACACACATGTACACTAAGAAGGGTATTGTCTATAATAGAAACGTTTCAATTTAGAACCAGGAAAACAAAGACTCATTCAACAATACAAAATCTGCACGTGACAGTTACCACAATGAAGGACTCTATTGTGGGAAAGAGGAAGGGATGTCTTCTTAGAGACCAGTGGCAGGCTTGTTTGGTTCACATCAGACTCGCGTTTATATCTAAAATGAGAGCATTCCCAGGAGTTTAAATGTGTTTCCCTATTCTTCATAATACTTATACTAATTACTTATTTGTCTTAACATGCTCTACGTGGACGTAGCGACTGGAGTGACCTGTGTTTAGTTGTCCTATATGTTGCACTATGTCTTGGTGACCTGTGTTTAGTTGTCCCACATGTTGCGCTATGTCCTGGTGACCTGGTGTTTAGTTGTCCCACATGTTGCGCTATGTCCTGGCGACAGGTGTTTAGTTGTCCCACATGTTGCGCTATGTCCTGGTGACTTGTGTTTAGTTGTCCCACATGTTGCGCTATGTCCTGGCGACAGGTGTTTAGTTGTCCCACATGTTGCGCTATGTCCTGGTGACCTGTGTTTAGTTGTCCCATGCGCTATGTCCTGGCGACAGGTGTTTAGTTGTCCCACATGTTGCGCTATGTCCTGGCGACAGGTGTTTAGTTGTCCCAAATGTTGCGCTATGTCCTGGTGACCTGTGTTTAGTTGTCCCACATGTTGCGCTATGCCCTGGCGACAGGTGTTTAGTTGTCCCTTATGTTGCGCTATGTCCTGGTGACCAGTGTTTAGTTGTCCCACATGTTGCGCTATGTCCTGGCGACCCTGGTGTTTTAGTTGTCCCATATGTTGCGCTATGTCCTGGTGACCTATGTTAGTTGTCCCATATGTTGCGCTATGTCTTGGTGACCTGTGTTTTGGTTGTCCCATATGTTGCGCTATGTCCTGGTGACCTGTGTTTAGTTGTCCCATATGTTGCGCTATGTCCTGGTGACCTGTGTTTAGTTGTCCCATATGTTGCGCTATGTCCTGCGCTGTGTTAGTTGTCCTGGTGACCTGTGTTTAGTTGTCCCATATGTTGCGCTATGTCCTGGTGACCTGTGTTTGCGCTATGTCCTGGTGACAGTTGTCCCATATGTTGCGCTATGTCCTGGTGACCTGTGTTTAGTTGTCCCATATGTTGCGCTGTCCTGGTCCTGGTGACCTGGTGTTTAGTTGTCCCATATGTTGCGCTATGTCCTGGTGACCTGTGTTTGTTAGTTGCGCTTGTCCCATATGTTGCGCTATGTCCTGGTGACCTGTGTTTAGATTGTCCCATATGTTGCGCTGTCCTGTGTTTAGTGACCTATGTTGGTGACCTTGTGTTGTCCCATATGTTGCGCTATGTCCTGGTGACCTGTGTTGTCCCAGTTGTCCCATATGTTGCGCGCTATGTCCTGGTGACCTGTGTTTAGTTGTCCCATATGTTGCGCTATGTCCTGGTGACCTGTGTTAGTTGTCCCATATGTTGCGCTATGTCCTGGTGACCTGTGTTTAGTTGTCCCATATGTTGCGCTATGTCCTGGTGACCTGTGTTTAGTTGTCCCATATGTTGCTCTATGTCCTGGCGACAGGTGTTAAGTTGTCCCATATGTTGCGCTATGTCCTGGTGACCTGTGTTTAGTTGTCCCATATGTTGCGCTATGTCCTGGTGACCTGTGTTTAGTTGTCCCATATGTTGCGCTATGTCTTGGTGACCTGTGTTTAGTTGTCCCATATGTTGCGCTATGTCTTGGTGACCTGTGTAAGTTGTCCCATATGTTGCGCTATCTCCTGGTGACCTGTGTTTAGTTGTCCCATATGTTGCGCTATGTCCTGGCGACAGGTGTTTAGTTGTCCCATATGTTGCGCTATGTCCTGGCGACAGGTGTTTAGTTGTCCCTTATGTTGCGCTATGTCCTGGTGACCTGCGTTAGTTGTCCCATATGTTGCGCTATGTCTTGGTGACCTATGTTAGTTGTCCCATATGTTGCGCTATGTCTTGGTGACCTGTGTAAGTTGTCCCATATGTTGCGCTATGTCCTGGTGACCTGTGTTTAGTTGTTCATATGTTGCGCTATGTCCTGGTGACCTGTGTTTAGTTGTCCCATATGTTGCGCTATGTCCTGGTGATCTGTGTTTAGTTGTCCATATGTTGCGCTATGTCCTGGTGACCTGTGTTTAGTTGTCCCATATGTTGCGCTATGTCCTGGTGACCTGTGTTTAGTTGTCCCATATGTTGCGCTATGTCCTGGTGACCTGTGTTTAGTTGTCCCATATGTTGCGCTATGTCCTGGTGACCTGTGTTTAGTTGTCCCATATGTTGCGCTATGTCCTGGTGACCTGTGTTTAGTTGTCCCATATGTTGTCCTGGTGACCTGTGTATTGTCCCATATGTTGCGCTATGTCCTGGTGACCTGTGTTTAGTTGTCCATATATGTTGCGCTATATGTTGCTCTCTATCCTGGTGACCTGTGTGTTTAGCTGTCCCATATGTTGCGCTATGTCCTGGTGACCTGTGTTTAGTTGTCCCATATGTTGCGCTATGTCTTGGCGACAGGTGTTTAGTTGTCCCATATGTTGCGCTATGTCTTGGTGACCTGTGTTTAGTTGTCCCATATGTTGCGCTATGTCTTGGCGACAGGTGTTTAGTTGTCCCATATGTTGCGCTATGTCATGGCGACAGGTGTTTAGTTGTCCCATATGTTGCGCGCTATGTGTCCTTGGTGACCAGTGTTTAGTTGTCCCATATGTTGCGCTATGTCCTGGCGACCTGGTGTTTAGTTGTCCCATATGTTGCGCTATGTCCGACAGGTGTTTAGTTGTCCCATATGTTGCGCTATGTCCTGGTGACCTGTGTTTAGTTGTCCCATATGTTGCTCTATGTCCTGGTGACCTGTGTTTAGTTGTCCCATATGTTGCGCTATGTCCTGGTGACCTGTGTTTAGTTGTCCCATATGTTGCGCTATGTCTTGGTGACCTGTGTTTAGTTGTCCCATATGTTGCGCTATGTCTTGGTGACCTGTGTTTAGTTGTCCCATATGTTGCGCTATGTCCTGGTGACCTGTGTTTAGTTGTCCCATATGTTCGCTATGTCCTAGTGACCTGTGTTTAGTTGTCCCATATGTTGCGCTATGTCCTGGTGACCTGTGTTTAGTTGTCCCATATGTTGCGCTATGTCCTGGTGACCTGTGTTTAGTTGTCCCATATGTTGCGCTATGTCCTGGTGACCTGTGTTTAGTTTTCCCATATGTTGCGCTATGTCCTGGTGACCTGTGTTTAGTTGTCCCATATGTTGCGCTATGTCCTGGTGACCTGTGTTTAGTTGTCCCATGTGTTGCGCTATGTCCTGGTGACCTGTGTTTAGTTGTCCCATATGTTGCGCTATGTCCTGGTGACCTGTGTTTAGTTGTCCCATATGTTGCGCTATGTCCTGGTGACCTTGTGTTTAGTTGTCCCATATGTTGCGCTATGTCCTGGTGACCTGTGTTTAGCTGTCCCATATGTTGCGCTATGTCCTGGTGACCTGTGTTTAGTTGTCCCATATGTTGCGCTATGTCCTGGTGACCTGTGTTTAGTTGTCCCATATGTTGCGCTATGTCCTGGTGACCTGTGTTTAGTTGTCCCATATGTTGCGCTATGTCCTGGTGACCTGTGTTTAGTTGTCCCATATGTTGCGCTATGTCCTGGTGACCTGTGTTTAGTTGTCCCATATGTTGCGCTATGTCCTGGTGACCTGTGTTTAGTTGTCCCATATGTTGCGCTATGTCCTGGTGACCTGTGTTTAGTTGTCCCATATGTTGCGCTATGTCCTGGTGACCTGTGTTTAGTTGCCCCATATGTTGAGCTATGTCCTGGTGACCTGTGTTTAGTTGTCCCATATGTTGCGCTATGTCCTGGGGACCTGTGTTTAGTTGTCCCATATGTTGCGCTATGTCCTGGTGACCTGTGTTTAGTTGTCCCATATGTTGCGCTATGTCCTGGGGACCTGTGTTTAGTTGTCCCATATGTTGCGCTATGTCCTGGGGACCTGTGTTTAGTTGTCCCATATGTTGCGCTATGTCATGGCGAGATGTTGTTGTTTGTTTGTCACGGTTACCAATGGTGGGGCAAAATGCCCTCAATGCAAACACTCGTTACCATGGAAATGGCTCTGTAATTCGTATGTAATCGAAATCGTAAATAGACAAATCTATTAGTTGAGATAACATATGATGATTTTATAGATTTTATAGCAATATTT